TTGTGTCTGAAGACTGGGAAGTGGAACAGTTACCACTCAACCTCAGAGAGCTTAAATTCCACTCTTTGGCTTAGCTCTGGTGTGTATACTCTGTGAGACATAGGTTGAAAACTGATAATTTGTGGAAACTTCCAGGAATTGGCCTGTTCAGAAAACTCATAGGAGTCTTCAGTGACTGGAAAGTTTTAATAAATGGGACTCCATTTCACCATTTCCTTCTGAGGTGGGAACAAGAGCATGTTCTGCACTTCTGGGGCTTTTTCCCTCCTGTACATTCTTGTGAAAGTAAATAGATGGTATTGTTGTACAGCACTGGAACAGCCACACAATCGACTTCCAACTCATAAATTAAAATCACTATGGTCAGCAGCAGTCAGGACTTCAGATGACATATAGCACTGGGCAAATCGGCTGCAAAGGACCTCTTTAAAGTGCTGAAGAGCAAAGATGACTCCTTGAGGACTAAGGTGTACTTGACACAAGCCATGGTATTTTCAGTCACCTCATATGCATGTGAGAACTGAACAGTGAATAAGGAAGACAGAAGAAGAGTTGATGCTTTTGAACTGTGGTGTTGGTGAAGAATGCTGAAAGTACCATGGACTGCTGAAGGAACTAACAAGTCTGTCCTGGAGGAAGTGCAGCCAGAATGCTCCTTGGAGGCGAGAATGGCCAGACTTCGTCTCACATACTTTGGTCATGTTGTCAGAAGGGAGCATTCCCTGGAGAAGGATGTCATGCTTGGTAAAGTGGAGGGTCGATGAATGAGGGGAAGGCCCTCAATGAGGTGGATTGACACAGTGGCAGCGGCGATGGGCTCAAGTATAGCAAGAATCACGGAGCTGGCTCAGGACCGGGCCGTGTTTTGTTCTGCTGTGCATAGGGTCGCTATGAGTCGGAGACAACTTGTTGGCACTTAACAACAACATGGTCAGGTGGAGAGCACTCTGAGCTGGGAATCCGAGCCTTGGTTTTATTTGGGGTTCCATTTCTCCACTGTGCTCATTTGTGGCTTAGACAAGTTACTTCTTGGGAAAATGGGTTTGTGGTGCCTGCACACTTGTCCCAGGGATCTGGGACAGTCATTGAAATAGAGCTGGGGAAGAAACTTAAAAAAAAGAACTCATTCAGGTGTTACCAGTAGTAGACATAATGGAGAGTAACTGTTAGGGAGTGGAGGTTCCAGGCTTGCTGGTCCCTAGGGTATGGTTATTCTGTAGGTTCCTCAGTTAGATATTTTTAGGGATATTTAATTAGAGATATTAGGCATATTAATTAGAGAAAGCTGGAAATTGTAGATTTTTAATTAGGATTGTCAGGTTATGTATGTGCAAGAGAAACCTTGTATTTGTCCCTTGAACTCAGAGTCTGGTTACTTCTGCTGGATTTTCCCCTAGTTTGGGTTGATATGTTTGCGAAAGATTGTGGTCCCTTTTCATCTCATTTTAATTAAAAGTAAACAAGAAATATAGAGAAGCCCAACAAAGTTGTTTTTTGCATGACAACAATTTTGCTTCTTTTTAAATGCATTTCAGTTATCAGTTAAAGAAAAACCATGATAACTTGATGATTCTTCTTTGTTGTCCTTAGCATGTGTGTGTCTTCAATTCAGCAGATACTGACTAATGTGTGTATATGCCAGCACTAGGGATAAAACCAAACCAAACTTACTGCCACTGAGTCAGTTCAGACTGAGTGACCCCTGTTGGGTTTCCAAGGCTGTAAATCGTGTAACAAAAGTAGATCACCTCATCTTCCTTCTGCAGAGTGGCTAATGGGTTTGAACCACCAACGTAAGGCATTTGGTTAGCAGCCAAATGCCTTATCCACTATGCCACCAGAGCTCTAGGGATAAGGAAGGTGAATAAGATCCATTTCCTGCATTCAGGATTTATAATCTAGAAGCATTTGATGTATCTTCTCCATACTCAGATCAAACATAGAAAATTCCCACATAATATTATGGTCTTTCTTAAACTTATTTCAGCATTAATTTGGGAGCTTGGACAGCCAAAAGGAAGAGAAGTCATCTCTTACTCTATTGACATTTTAATTGTCAGGAATGTAGAGAAGGTGGTGGTGGTGATGATGATGATGATGATGATGATGATGATGATGATGATTGTGCTACTGTTTATCAAGCTCCTAGATCCTATACTATTAGGAGCTCTGGTAGCATAGTGCCTAAGGCACTTACTGCTAACCAGAAGGCTGGTGGTACAAACCCACTAGCCACTCCTTGGAAGAAAAGTTGGACAATCTACTTCTGCAGTGATACCCCCTGGAAACCCAAGGAGGGTCACTATGAGTCGGGGCCGACTCAACAGCACATAACACAACAACAGCATACTATTAGTTAATCCCTCCAACAATCACGTGGGATCGATAATATTACCATATAATATCACCCATAGCTTCCTTGTGAGGAAAATGAATTTGGAAAGAACTTGCGCAGGATTACATAACTAATAAATGTCAGAATGGGATTTTTTACTTAGTTTAACATTTTGTCGTTGCTGTTGTTGTGATAGGATTTGAAGTAAGGTGCTCTGGTAGCATAGTGCCTAAGGCATTTGACTGCTAACCAGAAGATTGGCAGTTCAAACCCACCAACCGCTCCGTGGAAGGAAGACAGGGCAATCTACTTCCATAAAGATTTACTGCCTTGGAAACCCAAAGTGGGTTGCTATGAGTCGGAATCGACTAGATGGCAGTGGGTTTTTTTTTTTTTAAGATTTGAATTAGCTTTAAGTGAGTATATTTTCTGTGGAAAAGAGACACTTATATAGTATTTTATGTGAGCTATATCTGAACACACAAACAAAAATTTGTATTTTGGTTATTTAAAATTATTATATATATACAAAATTACATTGATAGTAAGGAAAATTTTAAGAATAGAGAACAATTCACCTTCTTGCTATTTTCATTTGTTCAGATTTCCTTCTAGTTCTTGTCTATGAATATAGCTTCTACAAAGTTGTTTTTATAGTGAACATAAATTTTGCATTTTTAACATTAAACATGTTCTGTGTTTCTACCTAGTTTAAATAAATATCATTTAAATAAGACTCCACTGAGTTGACACACTGTTCTTATTGAACATTTGTTTTAATTTTTTTTTTCATTATAGATAATGGGGTATTCACATTTTTATAACATACAGAGTTAGAATATTGACTTTGTTTGAATTATTTCTTTTAAATAAATGCCTGCAGTTACTTCTTACAAAGGTAGCCCATAGCTTTTGTATGACTCCTTTAACGTTGCTGCTTGTCAAATTAATCTCATTGCTATCTAAAATTGTTTGGTTCTTTATTTTGGCACTTTTAATTCTTAAAAAATATTACTTGGAATTTTTAATTAAAATGTTCAGATTGAGTTTTAGCTGTATTTCCTTTTTTCTTAAAGTTGCCCTTTGAGATTCCAAGAGCAAAGCTATACCCAAAAAGATAATAGGGTTTGGGTTAGAGGGATACGACAAAGTAGTAACAGAATGCAGATCCTTTGGTTCTCATGTGACTACTCTGTCTAGTAAAATAACTTTCTTCTTACTACAGAGCCATATTTTTGTGTTTGTGTACCTGTTTGTGTGTGCACATGAATGATGGAATGTAGCTCATTGTCACCATAGTTTTCTAGACATGTAAATATACAGACACAATCTGGGATGCTGGCATCTGTAAGCATGAGGCTGAAATATCCTAGTAAATACTGACAAGACATTTCCTGGACTCTTCATCTAACCTTTACCAGGGATTAGCCAAGCAAAGAGAAGAATACTTGATTCATGACAGGCTAGAGGAGCTCTTCTTTCTTACTGAGAATTCTCTACAGCCTGAGGACAACATGACTACTTATATTATGGGGTTTCTCCTCTGGTTTACTCTGTAGGATCTTAGAAACTCTTATAGAAGGATGGAGGGAAAGAGACAGACAGGGAGACGAGGCAGATGGGAGAGAGAGACAGAAGAAGAAAGACATAAATAGGGAGATAGGCAAAAGGAGACAGAGGAAGAGGGAAAGATTCAAATTTTATTTTTAAATAATAGTTATCACTTACTGTCTACCTCTTACTTAACCAGGTTCCTTGCCTACAATTTCTTTTTTTTTTTTTTTAATTTATTTATTTTTATTTGGGTGAAGATTTACAGAGCAAGTTCACTTTCCATACAGCAGTTCACATATACTTTGTCTCATGTCATTGACCACAGTTTACCACAATGCAACAGCTCCCCTCCTACTTCCTCCCCATAGTTACCTCTTCCCAGTGACCATCCCTCCATACTCTCCTGCACCCTGAGCTGTCTCCCTGTGCATAAGCAGCCCTTCCTTCTCCCATGATTGTTCTCTCTAGGGCGTGTGTCTACTTGAGATAAATGTTCAACTCACATGCCTGTACATTGTTTGGCTGGCAACCACAGGTGTGGGTTCAATTCCAGACCTGAAGGGCAGCTAGGGGCCATAGTCTCAGTGGTTCCACCATTGCCTACAATTTCTGATATGAACTGTGTGACTTAAGTATTATTTTCCTCATGCTATAAATGAAGAAACTAAAGTTTAGTGAATTTGTGACTTGCCCAAGGTAACATTAACTTTTAGAGAGGGAATTGAACTTTCTTCCATTTTACACTGTTATGATAAACCTCCTGACCCATTCTTGTGAAATAAGGGCCAGGTACTGGACAAATCACAAATTTTCCTTTAAAAATTTTAAAAATTGAATATCTAGAACACATGTTTATTTTAACTAGAACTCTATGCTATGACTCAGTTGCCTTTATACATCTGTCACTAGAAGTAAGTAAGTATTCATATCTTAGGAAAATGGAAAGGCCGTTGACTTCTTTGTGGGTCAGATAGACTATCATGCCAGAGGGAGGGAGGGAATCCATTGTAAATCTCATGACCTTGATATTTCATCCTTGTGGATTTCTGGTTTTCCTGGTGAGTGGAATGTCACTTTCCTTACTTCTTGTTCTTTGTTTTTGTTTTCTCAGATCTAGATACTGATGATGATTTAAATAGCGACGATTATGAATATGAAGACGAAGCCAAACTTGTTATATTCCCAGACCACTATGAAATAGCACTACCAAATATTGAGGAGTTACCAGCCCTGGTCAGTGAGTGTGCATGGCTGCTAGCTAGATGAGTGACTCTTTGTGTCAGGTGTGTGTGTGTGTGCGTGTGGTGTGTTTGCACTCTGCAGGTGATGGGAGGGGTCACATGAGAGAAGATTATACGTGAGGGCACAAACATGAGCATGTCGCTTTGTTGTGAAGAGGGTGCTGCAGGGTGACCTCTCAGTAGTGTTGGAACTTACATACCCTTTACTGCCTCTTACTGCCAGCCCTGTTTTGGACTTTATTGTTCATGCTGGTATCCTTCAGGATGGCATGGTTTTCTGTGCCTATGAATTGCAGTCTGTTGCTTAGATTTTCAAGCTGTGCAACTGAGTTTGTAGGCCTGCTATAGAGGGGCTGTCTTTTGTCAGCAGGACAAGTATATATATTTAAATTTTACTGTGATGTGGGTGAAAGTTTACAGAGAAAATTCACTTTCCATACAGCAGTTCACATACACTTTGTCTCATGACATTGACTGCAGTCTCCCACAATGCAACTGCTCCCCTCCCACTTCTTTCCCATAGCCACCTCTTCCCTGTGTCCATCCCTCCATGCACTCCTGCCCCCCGAGCTGTCTCCCTGTGCATATACAGCCTTTCTATTCTCTCATGATTGATCTCTCCAAGGAGTGTATCTACCTAATGTATGTAAATGTTCAGTTTATATACCTCTCTTTTGCTTGGCTGAAAGACACAGGAGTGGGTTCAATTCCAGATCTGAAGGGTAGCTGGGGGCCATAGTCTCAGTGGTTCCATTAGGTTATAT